TGCACTATTGCATCAGCACAGTCATTTTCAACCAGGGGCAATTTTTATCCCCAGGAGACATTTGGCAATATCTGGAGACACTTTTTTGTTGCCCTAACTGGGTAAGAAGGCATGCTACTGGCATCTGGTAGGTAGAGGCCAGAGATGCTGCTAAACATCCTACAATGCACAAGGCAGCTCCTTACCACAAAGAATTATCTGGCCCAAATGTCAACAGTGCCAAGGTTGAGAAACTTGGCATCAACATGATATTGCTTTTTTTGCCATTAGCATGAAATCCTTCTGATTGTGTCTTTGTCAAGTAGATAGCCTATGAAGTGAAGATAGAGGTAAAGGAATGGTTGTGTTCTCTCCCCAAGCCCCGCTTTGTACAGTTCGTAGAATATATAAATCTCAACTTTAAAACCAAGTGTTTGAATTATTACTTGTAGACATGATAACTTGTTTTCAGATTCTTAACTTCTCCTTCTTAGGTCTGATGGCAGAATGGAAGACTTTACTAAAACTAGACCTTTGGACATTGGACCTATCTATTTCTTTGATCAGGTAATAATGTAGCTCAGTTTCATAAATTATAATTTACTTTTAAAAATATATTTCACTTTGACCAGTATTTTTCTCTACCTTTTAAATAGATTTATTTCATTTTAGATGAAACCAAAAAAGAAAAAATGGGATAAGAGAGACCTTCTCCCCCATTTGGAGCACACTCCAGAAGAAAAACATAGGTAAAACTTTTGAAATTACTCTGCATTGCTGGCATCACTGTATATTTTCAAAGGCTTATATGGTGCTCAGGATCAATCCTTCCCTATTTCCTACCCTCTAAGAAACTACATCAAGAAATTACCATGTCAAAGCCAACTATGAAGTTAGAGAACTTTATTTTATTTTTATTTTTTTAACTTTTAAAAATTTATTACCCATCTGACACCATAATACTTATTACAATGTTATTGACTATATTATCTATGCTGTACTTTACAGGCTTGTGACTATTTTAATCACTGGCAGTTTATACTTTTATTTTTTTTGACATATCTTTTTTTTTAATTAAATCTTTATTGTTCTGATTATTACAGTTGTTCCTCTTTTTTCTCCCCCATAGTGCTCCTCCACCCAGTTCCCACCCAACCCTCTGCCCTTACCCCTCCCATGTCCTCATCCATAGGTGTACGATTTTTGTCCAGTCTCTTCCTGCACCCCCACACCCTTTACCCCCAAGAATTGTCAGTCCACTCCCTTTCCATGCCCCTGGTTCTATTATACTCACCAGTTTACTCTGTTCATCAGATTTTTTATTCACTTGATTTTTAGATTCACTTGTTGATAGATATGTATTTGCTGTTCATAATTTTTATCTTTACCTTTTTCTTCTTCCTATTCTTAAAGAATACCTTTCAGCATTTCATTTAATGCTGGTTTGATGGTGATGAACTCCTTTAGCTTTTTCTTATCTGTGA